GCAATTGCCTCTAAACCAGGGATTCTCAACCAGGGAGAACCATTTCAGGAACAAAATGTGGTTAACTTTTTATTTAGCAGTTCAGCATTTAGTTTTAATTTATGAATATAAAACAAACTGCTTTCATTCAAGTTTTAGCATTTATCAACATTTTCTGTACTAGTTGTTCAAATAATAAAACACACTGAAAAATAATTTTAATATAAATAAATATATACGTATTTTTCAAATTCAGGAAAGGAGACAGGGGAATGAAGTTCTAGCAGGAAAGAAGATGGAGGAATGAAATTCTAGCAGTGGTGAAAGTGGTGCATGGGGGAAAAAGGGTTGAGAACCCTTTCTTTAAAATGCCATACCCTCTCTGTAGGGAAATGCACCCTTGTTTCTCACAATGCCTTGTCTGGCATTCCTCTTTATTCCTAGCACTGAGAGACATAAGACAACTTTTGAATTTTTCGTATTTGTTTCTGTTTTTGGTATCTCATATTTGCATTTTGTACTGCATCTCATTAATTCCTTGGGTAGAGAGTAGACTTTAAGGCACCCCTTGTATTATGGCAAAGTTGTTTGATTTATTGTCAAGTTGTTGTTTCATTTATGGTAGCCCAAGTAGTTGAATGTTATGGAAACCCTATTGTGACGTAATCCGGTGCATGATTCTGGGAATTTTTTAATCATGGGATGTTTTGTAAGCGTTTTTGTGGTGTGTGTTGGTTTGATTCTTTAGACGGTAGAATGGCCGAATGTTGTAAGATTAATTTGAAGTTTCTGTACGATTTGGAGCGAAAGCTTTAATTGACTGGTGTGTAAATGAAGGTTTACATAGTAGCCATTATAAGTGTCCTGTATGTAGGAAGAATATGCGTCTAGTTGAATGTAAAACCTGTTTAGATGGATTTGAATGGGTTTGTAGGAAGAAAGGTTCAGATGGATTTGAATGGGTTTGTAGGAAGAAAGGTTCAGATGGTCACTATGTGAAGCGTTCGATCAGAAAGAGTACCTGGTTTGAAAAAGTCATTTGAGTATGATTTATATTTTGATTTTTACGTAGCTCTGGGTGTACGAAGCGAACTCGAAAATCATGGTAAGTAAGTGAATATTTGCTTTTGTATAGTGCTTAAATGTATAACATGTTTTTCCTTTTTTATGTTATTTTATTGTTCGGTTTAAAATGTATTTTATTGAGATTATGTATTTTTTGTGTGCCTATATTGTAGAATTTGGTGCTCCTTTGACTTTTTAAGTGAAAATATATCGATGTGTAGATGGACAAAGTAAAGGGAGTGTGCAATGAAAGTTTGTGCAATTCTGAGATTTTTTTTTAAGTGAAAATATGTTGACGTGTACATGGATAAAGTTAAAAGAGTGCGCAATGCCATTTTTGTGCAATTCGAGGATTTTTTTTTAAGTGAAAATAGGTTGATGTGTACATGGATAAAGTCAAAGGAGTGCGCAATGCCATTTTTGTGCAATTAGGGGATTTTTTTTTAAGTGAAAATAAGTCGATGTGTACATGGATACAGAGTTTGTGCAATTGTTTATTTTGTTATTTTGGCTTTTTAAGCCAAAATAACGAGTCAAAGAATTACACAAAATCGATATCCATGTGCCGCGTACCGCCAAGTTTCGCCAAGGGGTACCCTAAACTATACTTTTACCAATTCCTTTTCATCTCTGTCTGAGGGCTTCTGTCCATAGAAATTTTGCATTTCTGGGGGGGGGGAATATCTGACTATGAAGAATGCTGTTTGCATTTTGATGGGAAAAAAATTATCCGGCCATGAAGAATGCTATTTAAAATAGCAAGGAATCATCATTATCATTATCAATATCATTGAAGTCACTGATATTTTTTTATTTATTTATTTTTCATTTATTTTATATTTTCATTCAATTTTTTTATATGTTAATTTACTATATCTCCATTTACGATTAGTTAAACTTACTTATATTTTGACATTTCATTTAAATTTCAATTATGAACTATTTTTTGCTATATTAACTTACTTCATTTGCTTAATTCTCATAGCTATTCGTAGCACTCAGGTGCTAATTTCTCACTTCTAATTTTAGAAATTAGGCCCTGAATACGGGCAATCTACCAATGTTTAGTGCTGTGGCCACTCAACCTCTGATCAACTTGAGTAATGATATTTGCCATTAAATCATTATAAAACATATCTGCTATTTCTGTGTTTAACTTAATGTTTAACACTGGAGTAAAATACTTATGTCAAGATTTTAAGCTAAACCATTATAAAACCTATCTACTATTTATGTATTTAACTTATGTTTAACACTGGAGCAAAATACTTATTTCAAGATTTTAAGTTAAACTAATGCAAGAAAACTTGTGATCATTCATCATTTCTTTTAAATATGCAAAATGTGTTTTATTTATTTATTTTATTTGTTTATTATCTATTTTAATTTTTACCATAACACTCCTTGCATAGTAAATTTTCTGTTGACTCCCCAATTTTTTCTAAATATTTAATTTTCAGCAAATGTTTATGAGTGTTTAAATTAAATGGAGCTTTCTAATGCAAAAAGCTTTCCCATCCCTGAACTGAATTTATCATGAAAGACAGTTAAGAAATAAAACAAATAACAAAGTTCGAACTTCTATATACTCAGAATATTAAAGTAAACATTTAAGCCATACTTAAATTTCTAAATATCCAGAAAATATCTGTAGTACAGAGATGGTGCATGAACTTATGTTATCTGTAGTTGCCAGAATTGGTAAATTTAATAGCCTAATTTGTAATGCTAACATTTCAAATGCTTTTGCAACTACTTTAACAAGAAAATACCTAGTTTGCTAAAATAATCAATTCTTAACAATGTAAAAAAAGGTGCATTTATTCTGCATATACAAGTACAAAACTACTTGTACAAAGCACATATATAAAATCATTAACATGAACAAGAGAGACATAATTACTTAAAATTAGATATATGTACAAATATTATCACAAATAACATTAAAATACTACATCTGAAGAATGAAATAGCTATTTTAAAACATTAAAAGGATTTTTTTACTAATAACAAGCAAGACTAAATATATATATATAAACTTTATGGGGTGATAGAACACATCTATAAAAGCAATATTCATCATAGAAAGTTTGGGTGGAATACAAACGACAAGGCTCATAGATTAGCCTTTTGATGTCACAGGAAAAAGTCCAAGAGAGGCGGTAATCTTGGTGGCCAAGCTATTGGGCCACCTCGACCAATTCATCTTCCTGGAAATTTCATGATTCATATAAGCAGCCATCCTCTCAGCAATCCATGGTAGAAAATCTCGTTGGGTGTGAAGATCGACTCTTCTTATATTGTTTACAATGCCACCTAGTGACTGTGACTTGTCGTTTGTATTCCGCCCTAACTTTCTATGATGAATATTGCTTTTATAGATGTGTTCTATCACCCCATACAGTTTATAAATAAATATATATATATATAGTTATATTATGGATCTAGTTATCATGATTGCCGCTGTTTCCAGCGATACTCGGGAAATGCCTAGTGTTCACAGACATGCATCAGTCTTTATCCCACGATATAACTTTTGCTAGGAATACTATCCCGCAGGTGTGAAGCCTGCATTTCAGGCAGCAGAAGAGCTTTTGGGAATTTTCTTTGAGCATGTACACCAATTACATTCAAGTTAATAAAATGTTTTCTGAAGAGCCTTTCCTTCTTGCATTAATTCTTTAAATTTGACAGTGGAAAACTACTTTTTAACTTCTCTCCACTTGCGTTTTAATCATATACTCTATGACGAATATTGCTCAAATAGCTGTATTCTACCAGCCATAAAGTTTTGTCCACTTTTTCAGATTCACCCGACATACATATGATATTATTTAAGTCAAGAGATTTCATTAGAATGTTTTTCCTTTTTGTATTTTTTAAATTTTTGTTTCCTTTCAAGTCTGAATTTTGTTGGGCTATATTTTTGATTATTTGAGCATGGGTGATTAGTTATAATATTTTGAATTTGTTCAATCCAACAGTCAAAAATGATGAGTCTGTTTGGAACATCAAATATGAATAATTAATTTACAGTTTACCTTTTGTCCTTTAAAAAAAATTCTTTTACATATTAAAAAAACTTTTTAAAAATTTAATGCTTACTCTTAAGATTATTCTAAGAATAAGACAGACTAACTTTTTAATTTATTTACAAAAAAAAAAAAAAAAAAAAAAAAAAAAAAACTTTACCACAGTTTTTTTAAGTACTTCCAGGACAGTTCCATTTCCTAACAATTTTTTTTCGTAAAATTACCAAATTTTTCAATAAGCTGTTTAAGTGCTAGAATTTATTATTTTATTCCTAATTATTATACAAACACATTTCTTTGGAACAAAACGAAGTAAGTTCTATAAATGTATTTTTATCTAAAGAAATTTAAATTTATCTGCACAAAAATCAGATTTTACATAAGAATTTAAAAGTTTTTATACAAAGAAAATCTATTAGCATAAAAGCAGCACGGTATGTATTATGAAAGATATAAAATAATAAAAATTCGATACATAGTTTTTAACACAAACCACGAGATAACTTTTGCTAGGAATATTACAAGAAAAAAAAAGGGAGCAGATTAGCAAGGTCAACAAAAAATATTGTCTAGCAAAAAAGAAAACTTTACCGAAAATAAAATCACCTTTCTTCATCGTTCACTACTTAAAATATAAAATTTTCTGACCTGGGTTTATTTAATCACCATATATTTCTGCTCACGATATCTTAAATTTTAAGCAAATTTAGTGCAATAGCAAAAATATGCAACTTAATTGTAAACATCATTTCTAATTATAATAAACTAGAAAAGTTTCTTTTCTAAATTCAAGAATCGAATGATAGGCTATAATGAAGAGCCTAATTCAGTTACACTTTGCTGACAATATTTTTCCAACATTTAAATGTTAAATTACCGATCTACTGCTATATACTTACAAAAAACAAAGTGATACACACTTACTTAAATACGTATTTGATTTTAAAAGCACAATACTCCAAAGTTCTTAAACTAACCCGCTACAAAAGCGGGTAAACGATTGACACACGAGTTGTCCGCGAGTACCCACAGCATATGTTTACAATGTCAAAGTGAGCAGAATGAAAAACTTCAGCAATGGAACAACCTCAGACAATCTGTTGCCAATTCTGCACTTCCTAATACTCAATCGTCCACTTACAAAGATGAAATTATTTTATTTCCCTACTGATGAATGCATTTGCACCTCACATCAGAGAGATGTCAGGGCATATTATTGTAGTTACTTAAAAGAGATTTGTGGGAAAATATGCCGTAACTATTAATATAAATTCTTAGTAACTTTTTATACATTAACAGCTAATGTATGGTGACCAGATTTCGAAGTTGGAAATTCGGGGTATGTAATTTTTTTAACAAATATAAACTAAATCAAAACGCAGCATTATTTTTTTAAAAAAATATTAAATTTTTAACGCTTTTAAATTATTTTGATGAAGTAGCTTTATTCTCTGAAGCATGAAGCTTAGGGCATCTTTTTCTTTTTTGATCTTCGTATAAAAGTCCGTGCAATTTTCAGCAAAATTTAAGGCATTGAGCTGATAAGACGTTTTTCCCCTCCACTCCTGAAGTTTTGCTGTTCTACTTGAATTTTGAGTGAGTATGTTCTTTTGTTTCTTATTGTTATTCGCTAGCTGAAAGGTTATTTACTATCGACTGACTCTTGGTTATCTTTACGACTGACTCTAGCTGAATAGGGCAAATTTTGCTCATCGATGACTGACTCCCTCATTGATTATCTGACGATTTACGACATGGCTATAGACACGGACTGTTTTAAAGAAATGGAAACTCTTTAGAAACTTAGAAAGGATATGGAAATTTTCAAATCTAAACTCCGTGAGAAACCCTCGGAAGAGGAAACTAAAATGTAAAAAAGTTTAGAATCCCAGTTCACTCCATCTGAAACTTTAGTTCTTATGCTTCTCGCAAATAAACAAGCTACAATGGAGGCTATTACTAAAAATGTACCATTATTTAGCGGCGGAAAAGATAAAAGTGACTCCAGCACCTTGAAATAAAAATGCGAGAAAGCTATCTGACTCAGATGATAACCTTCCCCCTACACAACTCAGCAATAAATTCCATGCACTAAGCATAGATCAAAATCTTGACATCCCCATGCCGATGCTAATCGCACTCGCTTAAGCTATTCGCACCAACATTAACCACGCATGCGCATTGAGTTGTCAGACCATCATTTGAACCCAATCGAAATTTGATTCTACGTACGTGAAATGCCTAAATGTTGTAGTGAATCTACAGAGTAGAGATAATTATTCACAAAGTTCGGTTTCGATACCTCCGATAAAGCAGAGAAACATACGACATGATTGTCTTCCTTAATGCCTTTTGGGGAGGTCCCCTATGACAGGCCCTCCCTCGGCGCGGCGCATAAGGCACTCCCTACTTATGCGGCCAACAGGCTCGACACCCTGCCATGACTGATCTCAAGGGTAATTGATCACGGAGGAAGTTATATGCCATCACAGAAAATAGAATCATCGCTTATACGTGGTCCGTTCAAGCGTGACAAAAACCGTACGGGTGTCTTCAAGACTTGGACAGCGTGTATCATAGATTTTTTTTAAGGTATCACTGGCTACAGGTAATCCAAATCATGTATAAGCAGCCGCAAAGTTGCTTGTTCTCAGCCTGTTAGCTAGAGTTCTGTCCTTGGAAGTTATTGCTTAGATTTAGCTCATATAGCTAGCTATTGCACTACTCCGTGCTAGTCATAATATGAAAATGAGCATTGAATAGCTAAGGGAAACTCTCAAGTAACTTCTTGAGTAAATATGGATATAGTACTTGAGAGACTTTTAATTTGTAAGCAAAATATACATATAGGGCCCTAGTTTGGACACCGTCGAGATAGAAGAACGGGTCGCTTTGCTATCTCTCGAAGAGCGATCTGGTGTCATCGTCTCGATCATTCAGAGACGAGCGTCAGAAATTTCGTCAGCTGGACACTGCCGTTTAAGTTTCTGACTGCGTTTTAGAGTGAAAAACCAGGCTGAATCACCAACTTTTCTCTCTTGGCGAGGGAGTGAACGCGCTGCCAATTTTGGCGCGTTTATCGCACACGCTGGCTGAATGTCTGCTGTTTTTTTAAAGATTTATTTTATAGACGCGCGGCATTCAGCGCATATAAACTTTTCGGATAATTTATTAATTCTCGAATAGTATATAGACGTTTTCACTTAAATAAAAATTTCGCGTATATTTTGTAAACATATTCAAAATAACTTATTCTTTAGATGTTTCAGTTTCGTTAGCAGACTAAAATAAATAAGATATGAATAAAAACTTTCAATAGTGTCAAATGGGGAAATAGTTAAAGCGTAGAGTGTGCAAATAAATTTATCTTAATGACATTTTAACAAAAATTTCCATAAAAACACTGTAAATTCATACTAAAAAAATAACTTAAGAATATGTTGTCATTTAAGTCTGAGGTATATGGAAATAATTGTGCAAGATTCTGAAGAAACACTTTCTTTTAAATGTGTGAAATATTTCATAACATATATGGAAGAAGAAAGTACAGCATTCTGTGTTTTGGATGCTTTTCATCAAATGTAATATAAATACGAACTAGAAACCGTAATAAAAAGTCCTTCCTCTTCAATCAGATCACCTTTGTGTTGCATTGTATTTGTAATACTTCTAAAAATCCAGTTTTTACCTAAATTAAAAAAACAGTTATTCCATAAAAGATAATAACTTTGAACGTATATAGAATGAATTTTGTAATTTGAGTTATGTTACAAAATAATTCATAGTTTATATATTTTATACTAATAATTTAGATAAAACCTGTCCAATTTAAGAATGTGTGTTAACCACATTCTTAAATTGTAAAAGGACGACTTAACCACATGTAATTCATTTCAAAGCATAAAAGAAAGCTTATTTTTTATTTTACACAGCAACAGCATTTTCATGCAGTCAAGTTTTTTTAACTGCTAGTTATTATACATAATACTTAATTTTTAAACCCATTCTTATTAGAAAGCATAACTAAGAAACTTCTTTTTAAAGCACCACAGTGATTGCAAAGAATGTCGTTAAATTTACAAAAGTATTGAAGATATATTGAACAGCATTATAACAAGAAAGTACTGTACAAAATATGTAAATTTAGCATAACTTCTTTTTTAGTATTTGCATAGTTTCCTCCAAATGAACCTTAATGGGAAGTTATCTTGCGAAAATTTAAAAGTATTAAAATGGCCTCTATTTAAGATGTAACTGCATTTATAATTATTTTGTAATTGCGAATAGATTATATTATTGCAATTAGATTATGCACTTACAACATAATTGCATAAAGTAATGAAATTAAGAGTTCACAGATACAATGTAATATAATTACAATGCAATTACCTAAATTGTAATTATAATCACTTATTTAATACCACAATATTATTACAATCACAATGTAATTTAAATTGGGTACTATATTTGCATACCCTCCACTCAAAAGGAGGTACTGATAAGCCTGGAAGTTATTATCAACAAAAAGCCTGTTCAGGACAGTTTGATGACAATTTCCACCGGGCGAAAAGTACATTCTTAAGCCCAGGCAAATCATGACAATAAAAATCATTTAGTCTTATGATTCACTATATTTTAAACCCTAAATTTGAATTCTGCACCAAATTATTTACCTATATTTTAACATACTTTATGAATTATTAGAAGCGATATGGCAAATATCTTCTAAAAATAACTGTAAAATATTTGTATCCATTAATTGATTCAGATACACACTTTTATTATTTAAGTATATCAAAATAACAGTTTCATGTTCCTGAAATACAAAAATTATGGAAAAAGTTAAAGTAATATTCTTAGAAGCATATGATATTAGTCACCAGATGCAAAATTATAGTTAATTTTTTGCCCTAAATACAATTTTATTACACAGTAGTCAAATGTGTAACTTAATAACATGTTATATAAAAAATTAATGATAATAAGTTTATCAGAAATGAATTAATTCTGCAAATAAACTTTCTGCACTTGAAAATTTTCTACACCTGAGGGGAGGGAGAGATCTAGTAAAATTAGATTTATTATAACTTCAGTTGGACCAAACACCTTCTCTCTATATATATATGCATCACTAAAGAAATAAATAAAATTATCATGCTTAAAAAACAGATATACCATACCAGTTTTTTTTCCCCTTTACATTGAGAAATAACAAACAGTACAACACTGAAAAATACTATCCTTGAAATGTTGTTTAAATGAAGACACACACCATCTTTTTATTTAAGCATTACACTTCAAAAACAGATACACATACCAATTTATTTTCACTAGCCTTTATACTGATAACATGCCATATAAAAATGAAAAGAATTATCCTTGAAATTTAGATAAAATGAAGTAACACAATGGGAAAATTTATGCACACGGACATCTTTTTTCTATTGCATGTTGTCTGACATGATCCACAAGTGCCTAAAAATGTACCCAAAGAAACGCATTTCAATATTAACAAAAAATTGTTTACAGATTAAAATTCATTCATTTCATACCAGTATTATAAAGATCATGCATGAAACAAATCTGCTTTCCCATACTTTTAAAAGTAAAACTTTTATACTGGAAAATAGACTATATTTCTATATATTAGAAACAAGAAAATAATACCATATAAATACTCATACCTACAGAAAGACATAACATCAAAACAGAAATTTATATACTCGTAGCCTAAAAAAATACATATTACATAAAACAAAATTATTTAATATAAACATAATACCTTCTAAATTATTTTACTTTTTGTTTCTTATTGGCCGACTGATGAATATGAAACGTTATGGCTCTTTGTTGATAAGATGCTGTGTAAGGCCTTTGCATCTAGTAATAAAAAAATTATCAATAATTACTTTCTTAAGATTACAGCATTTCTGGCATGGCCACATGCGTACATTTATCAATTATTCTTTCAACTAATTCTTTTGTGATGGCTGATTGTAAACGAAGGAGTACATCTTTTACATTTTTGAAATTCTCGTTCAGCTTCCCTACATATTCGATACATTCCTGAAAGAGA